ATTGACGCTGGATTTCTTGAAGACGCGAGTAGCTTGCCGCTTGCTGGCACTGTCCACAGTGTCCATCGCGCAGGTCTCGGGGCTTGCGATGGCCCCTAACTCATTTGACTCCTCAGACTCCGAGTACTCGGATTCCGAGCTGTCCCACTGCAAAGGAAACCCAACGTTAAGAGCGAAAAGTCGTGGGAAAGCGTCAGAACATTGTGTCGGGTAGCATCGTTCGGAAAGAAATTACCCCAGTAACGACCATCGTATAAATTCTAAATCACGATTATATAAATTCCACGTTTCCGGCTGTTGATGGAAAGCTTTAAGAATTACGTTACGAATTTTTCAAGCGTGGAGCAGGATTTCCTTCTCTCTTAACATTAGAATTACTAAAAATGATCAAAATGATCAATTTATAATTCTTGTCGGATATTTTATTAACGGTGAAACAACGTATTTTCAAAGATTTAGCTAATTCTTCATAGAATGTACAAATAAAGGCTTGTGCACTCCACTGTGTCATAAAGTTCTTGCGATCCAACGTTTTGTAATCGCGGAATCCGTTTCGAAACATCGTCGATTTTCGTTCCGATATTTCACGTTGTTCTCGAGCAGCGAGGAATTTTCAGCCAGAGGTACGTTTTTCGCGTCTCGCCGCTGGCTTCGGCACGCAATTCGCACGCATTGTGAATCGACAAAGCCGGCGCGTACGTCAGAAAGAACGTTCGTCATCGTTCTTTGAGAACGGTGCACGTACGCGCGCGTAAAACGGCTCTTTGATCGAGATGTCGTCAAAGGAAACGGCCAGAAACAGGGGAAAAAGAGAGAGAGAGAGAGAGAGAGAGAGGGACAGAGAGAAAAAGAGAAAGAGAGAAAAGAGAGAAAGGGGAGAGTCGGTACCAGAAAGAGAATGTAGATCATGTATTTATTTCGTTGTCGGCGATGGAACGAGCCGAGCAATGCACACCTCTCGCCAAGCGAATTCCCCAGGATTTTCATTTTTATTACTGCTCCTTCGCCTCCATTTTCCTTTTGGCAAACGTGAATCTATTGAAACGTCACACGACAATTGGGAACTCTCGAAGTTTCCGAGAGGTTTTGCCACAGATTTAAGAAGCTTAACGAACTCGAACGTCCAAGGAGGATTTGAAGTCTGGGAAAGTCTCTTGAGGTAAAAGCATTGAACGCTGGCGTTAAAGCGCGCGTTAAATAATCGATGGATAACGCGAGAGACGTGATCGTGACTATTAACGACGAGGCGACATGTTCAATTATAACTTACAGAACTTCGTTCGTACGAACTCCATTTATTCGATTCCGAACACCTACTGCACCAATAGAAAGGAGAATCACTTGTCCTCTCAACTTTCACTCCACAAATTTGAAGTCGCTGCTTGAAACTTGGAATACTGTACAATTTTGAAGGAAAAAAGGAGGGGGGGGAAATTACGATGAAAACGCGACGACAAAGTGATAAAGTAATGATTCACGCGTGTGTTAGATCGCGGAACGTGCCTGCAAAAATAGATGCCTTCACCTTCGCCATATTCGACGGTTCGCTGCTTGATTTTCACGCAGGTGCTTTCTTCTTTTATCCAGCTGAAGAACTCGCTGCGCCAGCGCGATTAAATAATCTAATCGCGAGCACCGGAGTGTAGCCGGGTAACGTTCGTAACGCACGCTCCGTTGAAATCGTCGAATATAACTCGATCGTCAGTGAGTCATTTTTGCCGATTTCGCATTCGCGAGACTGTGATCGATCGTTTCGATCGGTGAGTACAACGTCGAATTGCACAATAACGTATTTCCCCCGCGAAGAAGCGTAGCCACTGTTCACTTCTCGCCGCGAATAATAAACGGAGAAATGGACCAAGTCGATTGAAAGAAGATCGTCGTAGCAGCGTCGAGTTTTCCAGTAACAAGCAACCCTGCAATCCTGGCGAGCGTCGAGCGCAGACTAGACGGGCCTTGACAAATGGATGTCAATTTCAATCGACGCTCGTGTAACTCTTAACGCGATCTAAGGAACGATCTGTGCTCGTTCGAGCATGCGATCATACAGAGAACACTGGTCCGTGATCGTTGCGATTCATGTATAAGGATGCTGTGTCGCAACGGATGAATATTCGCCTTTCCGGGAAACAGAAATCGCTTTTCCCGATGCTGCTCGGTATTTCATTGCCGTCCCAGCTGTCTGAAGCATGTCGTAAACGTGGAAAGTTTAATTGGAAATGGATATTCGAACGGTATATGTATTGTATGTATCCGCTAACTGATGGTACAACTGAGTAGACGATTCTATGTAGGAAAATTAGTCGAGAAGAAAGAATAAAATTTTCATTTAATATTAATTTCTCAGGCGGCGGGCCTGTGTCCATTCGAAGCTCAACTTGCTCAACGATTATGTTTCTCTACACAAATTATGTCACGAATGGTAATAGTAAATGACAGAGAAATAATATTGGATAGTGATGAGTATCAAGGTATTCAAATGTAAAAATTTATCTAACTAATTCTGAGGTAGCCAAGAATAATTATTTTTATCTGCGAAAAATAAGTCGAAACTTTAAACTTTCAAAATTGATGAAATATACATGTGCCGAGCCACTTCTTGATTGAACACATTGAAAATTCATTTCTTTTGGCAACAAAGAGCGTTTAATCCGCGCTGCAGCATTTCACAGATAATTGTACAATCAATAACAAAAATAATTAGTTCAGAGAGGAAAGCACATATATATCGAATGCATTCTTAATCTGCCATATATGGCCTGTCATATATGGTATTAAACGAAAGCAATTTTCTTCTTATTTTTTTTTCGCCCTCGTTCGTCAAGACGTACTTCAATCAGTCAATAATTGGAGCCTTTAAGAGTTAACAATTGCAGTGAAACGAATAAAGTAGAAACAAAGTGGGTATGTAGCTCGGGGATAGAGATGAATTGACGCGGAGCTGAACAATTTGCAACGAATGCGACAATCGGGTTTCAGCACCGTTTTCCAGCGGCTCGACAGAAGATTATTACGGTACAATAGCATGATAGATTTAAGGCTAGCTAGGATTAAACGACCGTTGATTCCGCGGCACATTCTGCAGCACGTGAGCAATATAAAAAGACCTATTGCCAGGACCGACTGACGCGTTCCCGACGCAACAGACGTCAGAAAATGGAATTGTTCTAACATCGGACAACCAAACGTTCGTGCGATTGTGTCTCCCAACTGACGTGTAAACACACGATCACGTTTGGGAGGGCAGAATGATTTCGTTCACGTTGGCACGTTCATCGGGACAACTTAATTATTTGAGCTTTCGGGAACATCGTTTCTGCAAGTGAAACACAAATTGAAACGCGAGTTATTCAGGTGGGGACGACGAGGTTTCGCGAAATCTCGGCAAAGGCCGTGAAGAGGAGAGTCTTTTCTTCCTTAAGGTCGCTGCACAATTCGATAGTTCGAGCAACTGGGACTCGCGGCAGAAACGAGATTAGCGCCGAGCGGAAAAACGTGAGCGGCGCTCGTCGCTGTCGCCGGGAAACCAGCAAAGCCGATAAGCCACCGGTTTTACTCGATTACCAATCGGAGAAAAATCAATTTCACCACGGTTCAATGCTCCGTTTTTATTTTGAAAAAAAAAAAAAAAAAAAAAAAAAAAAAAAAAAAAAAAAGAAAAAAA